TAATCTGGGTTCCAGGGCATATAGATATAATAGGGAACGAAGAAGCAGACGAACTAGCTAAGCTAGGCACTACTTCTCTTATATTAGAACCTGAATCAGTGAAAACCTCCTTTGCTTTCCTAGGGGTTAAAATTAATAAAGTTAAGAAACTAGAGTATAGACTACTTTTAGAATCTTATACTAAACCAAAAACCCAGCTAGAAGCATATAGTAATATATATCCGTGAAAAGTATCCAGAAAAATAAACCTACCTTCTGGAATATTTAGGCCCCTAGCTAGTGCCTTCTTCTAGCTAAAGCTAGGCCACGGATATTTAAAGTCCTATTTATACAGGCTAAATATAATATCTAATAACAAATGCAAATGCGGAAAGACTGAGAATGCAAAGCATCTTCTTTTATACTATATGCTATATAGGGAGAAACGACTCAGACTATTTAGTCTATTCAAAGAAAGCTTAGAAGCTAGTACTTTTAACCTATGACTACTATTATATACGGAAATTGGGATATCAAATATACTAGTATTCTTAAAAGAAACTAGTATATATACAAGAAAATGGCATATTAAGCGAAGCGTGGAAGTGGAAGAAGTGGAAGAAGTGGAAGAAGTGGAAGAAGTAGAAGAAGTGAAAAGAAGTGGAAATAAGGGAGGAACATAGGGAGGAAATAGGGGGAATAGGGAGGAATAGGAGAAGGGAATAGGGAAAAAAAAAAAAGAAAAAAAAAAAAAAAAAAAAAAAACAAAAAAAAAAAAAAAAAAAAAAAAAACAAAAAAAAAAAAAAAAAAAGAAAAAAAAAGAAAAAAGAAAAAAAACAAAAAAAAAAAAAAAAAAAAAAAAAAAAAAAAAAAAAAAAAAAAAAAAAAAGAAAATTAGTAGGGACAAGAAACAAAAAAAAAAAAAGAAAAAAAAAAAAAAAAAAAGAAAAAAAAACAGCAAAAATAAGATCAAAAAATACAAAAAAAAAAGAAAAAAAAAAAAAAAAAAAAAAAAAAAAAAAAAAAAAAAAAAAAAAACAAAAAAAAAAAAAAAAAAAAAACAAAAAAAAAAAAAACCATAAAAAAGAAAAAAAAAAACAAAAAGAAAAAAGAAAAAAAAAAAAAAAAATGGGAAAAGAGAAATAGGGAGTAGTAGGGGAGAGGAATTGACGATTTATATTTCATTTTTTCTTTATTTCCTTTAAAGTTTTTATTTCAGGGGTATGTTCCCTAACTATTTACTACCTATTATTGGAAATTTGGGCCTGCATATAAGCTACTGAGACTCGGCGCTAGCTTAAGCTAGCCGTGCTATATAGCTTCTAAACTAATAAAAGTACATTAAAAGGAAAAAAAAAAAAAAAAAAAATATATACTTAATATCTTTTATAATTATAAGGTTTTTCCCAGGCTCTCTATTATAGTATGCTTATTAGTGCCTAATGACTATTTAGCCTAGTTTAAAGTAGACTAGCCTATACTATCCGAATACTAGCTAGAATAAGTATATTTTCTCTACTAGGATAAAGGGGAAAACCCCAGGGACCAGACTTTAAGTTATTAAGAGATTATAGTTGTTTACTTTATAGAGCTACTTCAAAGACTTTTTTTATAGGCTTAGATACTTCCTTATTTAATATTAATAAGGGGGTATTACCCTATAAGTCCTACTAGCTTTATTCTAAAGAAATCAGGAAAACTAAACTATTTCTTACCTAAAGTATATTGAGTTATTTCCTTATTTAATTATTTAGGAAAGGTTTCTGAGAGAATATTAGCTAAGAGACTTAGTTATTTAGCCGAGACTAGTAACCTATTATACCCTTCTCAAATGGGAGGTAGGCTATATAAGTCAGCTATTAATACTACTTTATTACTATAGAATAAAGTAGAGACTAATAAGTCCTATAAGCTAAAAACTACTACTTTCTTCTTAGATATTAAAGATGCCTTTGATCACGTATCCAAGAATAGGCTATTATAGATTATAATTAGTTTATTACTACCTACTAGCCTTATTCTCTAGGTATTATTATTCCTAGATAACCGAGTATTAAGACTAGCTTTTAATAATAGTATAGAAGCATTTAAGTCTATACTTACTAGCATTTCATAAGAGAGTCCTATATTACCTATACTATTCCTGATCTATATCCGAGATCTATTTAAATTAGTAAATATTAGTTTTAAGTCCTATTTAGATAATATAACCCTTACTACTACTTCTAATAGCCTTAAAAAGAATATTAAGACTTTAGAGCGGGAAGTAAAGGATATAGTTAATCTAGGAAATAAAAATACTATTAGCTTTAATATAGATAAGACTGAGCTTATTTACTTCGATAATTCCAAGAATAAACCTAGCTTAAAACTACCTAATAGGGAACTAGTTTCTCCTAGTAAAGTAGTTAAGTAAATAGGAATATATTTCGACGAGAATCTCAGATTTAAGAAATATATAGCTTATAGGACTTCTAAAGCAAAACAAGCCTTTTATAGGGTTTAGAGACTTATAAATATATTACGTAGTTTATTCCCATTTGTAATTAGACAGCTATATTTAGCCTATATTACTAGTATAATAGACTATGGTTCCTTACTATAGTAGAAGACCAAAAATAAAGCTCAAATTAGGCCTTTATAAGCTATTTAGAACCTAGCTTTAAGAAAAACTTTAGGAGTATTTAAAATGGCTTCTATTATTCCTATAGAGGTCAAATTAGCTTTACTTCTACCTATTATAAGACTAAACTATAGTTATTACCGATATGCCCTCCGTATCCTTAAATTAAGTCTAAATTATCCTATTAGACTAGAGTTTGAGAAGTTCTTCCAAAGATCTAAGTAATTAGAATTAGTAGACTCTAATATAGACTCTATTTATAGTCTAAATACAGATCTAGTTCAAGATTATATGGCTAAAATGTCCCAAATTGAAATTATAGTCGATTCTATTAAGGAACTTATAGTCCCTAAAGACTTAGAGACTATAAGACACTTTTACTTTGCTCCCTGAAATAGAGAAGTATCTTATAAAATTACTATATCAAGACAGCCTAAGGAAAAGACTACTATATTATATAATCTCTATTTAAAGACTTTATATAATAATAGCTCTATATTATCTATATATATAGATAGATCTCAAACTCAAAAAGGAATCGGAATAGGCCTAGGACTCGTAGTCTATAGTTACGAAACTCCCTATATACCGGTTATAGCTAAATATAGAGAAAGCCAGAATATAAGAGCTAGTACTATAGTCTATAATAAAGAACTAGAAGGCGTTACTAGAGCTATTAAATATACTAGTAATAAAGTAAAGAGAAGGAAGCTTTATAATATCTATATAAATAACCAAGCTAGTTTACTAAGATTAAAAACTCCTTCTAATAAGCCGGGACAAAGTCAATAGATTAGAGCTATACTAGCTACTAAAGCCCTTATAGCTAAAGGAGCTAGTATAGAACTAATCTGGGTTCCAGGCTATACAGATATAATTGGGAACAAAGAAGCAGATATACTAGCTAAAATAGGTACTACTTCCCCTATATCAGGTGACCCCGAATTAGTAAAAACCTCCTTTGCTTTCCTAGAAGTCCAAATTAATAAAGTTAAGAAACAAGAGTATAGACTACTTTTAGAATCTTATACTAAACCAAAGACCCAGCTAGAATCATATAGTAATATATATCCGTAGAAAGTATCTAAGAAAATACAGCTACCTTTAGGAACTTTAAGGCTACTAGCTAGTGCCTTCTTCTAATTAAAGCTAGGCCACGGATATATAAAGTCCTATTTATATAGGCTAAAAATAGTGTCTAATAATAAATGCAAATGTAGGAAGACTGAGAATGCAAAGTACCTTCTTTTATATTACGAGCTATATAAGGAGGAACGAATTAGACTATTTAGTCTATTCAAGGGTAGCTTAGAGGCTAGTGCTTTTAACCTACGAGTTCTATTACATACGGAGATTGGTATACCGAACACACTAGTATTCTTAAAAGAGACTAGTATATATACAAGAAAATGGCATATGGACCGAAGCGTGGAAGTGAAAGAAGTGGAAATAGGGGTAGAAATAGGGGAGGAAATAGGGGAGGAAATAGGGGAGGAAATAGGGGTGGAAATAGGGGAGGAAATAGGGGAGGAAATAGGGGTGGAAATAGGAGATATGGAAATAGGAGAGTGGGAATAGGAGATAGGAGAGGAATTGCGATTTATACTCATTTTCTTTATTTCCTTACTATTACTATTCTAGGGGTACGTCCCCAACCATTTATTATACCTATATTGGAAATTGGGCCTGTATATAAACTACGGAGACACACGCTAGCTTGCTAGCCGTGCTACATAGTTCTAAACTAATAAAGCACGTTAAAAGGAAAAAAAAAAAAAAAAGAAGGTTCTCTTTATCTATAAAAGGAGAAGGCTTAGCCCACATGCTCTTTTTATCCTTCTTAGCAAGGTTCTCGCATATAATTACACCCAAATTAGCCTTAATCTGGGCTCCTTTCCTGAACTTATGATTAGATAATCGCCTAGAAGGCGAGAATATCTTATCTTCGTACTTTTCCAAAAAGGTGGCATGCTTATATATACCCTTTGCTCTATAGGGTGTCTGGAAAAAGGGGGTTCTGGTATACTACCGATCGTCTAGTCCGCGAATTCCTGAGTTCTCCTTGCTATAATCGGTAAGCCTAGCTTCAGAAAAGGGTTCTACCAGATTATCTATAGTATTTCCAATCTCGTTTTCGATTTCCAAAGCCCTAGGAAGTAATAAAAGCTCCAAATCGTCTTTATTATCCTCATTAAGCTCGCTTAGGGGTTCAGGGGCATTATGTGATTCGGGCTATTACTCCTATATTATTAACCCCCTAGGCTTTACTCGGAGTTGTGGTTTATTAGATAAAGGTATACGAATTCCAAGTAATGGATTAGTCTTGCTATAATTATAAATACGTCCTCTAGTGCTTTTATTACCTAGTTTCTTGGCTGTTTGCTTCTCAAGAGCCTTTAAAACCATATCGGGGTTAAATGGGTAAATACCAGTTTTTGTGAAAGCCGAACATATATTCTTTTTAGTAAAAGCTAGAGCTCTGATTTGCTTGTAGTACTATAGGAAAGTCATTTTCGTAAAGTTGTTTCTACCCTTACGAACCTCGTCTTTAATTGCTCTTGAATACCAGTGCTTCTCCTGCTGGAAATACGTAATATCCAATAGTTAATACAGGTATATAGAGTATATAATTAGACAGAAATAGATAATATCCAAAGACTCTATAGCTTGGATAAATTCGTATATTATATGGCTTCCGTATCTATCAAATATTAGAAGACGATATCTGCCCTTGACTTATAACTTAGTCTGGTAGTGGAAATGCCATAGCCACTTATAGGCTAGCTTGTCGTCCGTATATCCATTTTCAGAGGTTGCGATTTTGACGTTTGGGGCTAGATTATTATTAAAATGCTTCTGTATAAATATGCTATCTGGTATAATAATAAATGGATCAAGCTCCCAGAAACTGGTAGATATATACTCTATAGCTATAACTAGCTCTCTTCGTATAGGATCCTTTATAAATACCTGAACTTAGTTAATATAGTTACATTTTTAGGGGCATTTTTAATAGGGTGGTTTTTTACTTATATGCTTTATATTCTTATGAGTAATTATAGTAGTATTTCGCATATATCCTACCCGGAATCCAATCTCGTCTATATTATATTAATTACCCTCGTAGATATTATACTTCTCCTTTACGGCCTTTAGATTATTAAAGTACTTCGTAACAATTTCGGGGGTAAGAGTATCCTTTCTTTTATAGTCTATAGGCTTAGTACAAACTATATAGTACCGGCCTAATTTCCTCTGTTTTTCTACCTAACGAAGGGCCTATATATCTCTAATTCGGTCCGCAGGAGAGAGTATTTGACCCGTAGCCTTCAAAATTGATATAGCTACCGCAGTAACCATATCATATCGCAAAGGGTAATTCCTCTCGATATATATATCTATATACTATATTAAGCTTGCTTCCTGGGCCTTATTCAAACGTATATTATACCCTCTATTCTCCGAAAGAGGCTTGGACCCCTTATATTAATCGAAACATGTTGAGTAAAATACGTCAAATATAGAGACAGAGGTTCGTAGGTTCGTAATTTCGGTTTCCGCAGGGTCCTTCCAAGTATATATGGCCTCCTTTATCCGCTCCTCCTGTGCCATATACTGAACCGTCTTGTACCGTGGGAGTTTTTTGAGTCTCTGAACCACTTCCTTGTTCTTCTCTCTCGCTATACGGTATATGGCTTTAGGTATGGTAGCATATTCGATGATTTGGATAGAAACAGAGTGGTGTTAAGGAGTAAATTGGATACGATTTTTACATATGAGGTTATGCCGAGGCCGCTCGGTAAGCTCCGATAATTTACTTAATTAATTATTACTATAACCGGATGCGCTTTAATCAAAAAATACTCTATTAGGCAATTACTAGTCTAAGTAAGGGCTATAATTATATAAAAAAATTATTTTAATCGGATGTGTGGTTGTTTTTTAATATAATAAAAATGACTAAAAATCGATATCGGAGTTGCTATAATATCGGACTTGCTATAACCAGCGAGCTTAGCGAGCTGGCCCGAACTGGGTGCGGAATTGCCTGCGAGTAGATAAGAGGCTTTAATAATCTTATAAGAGATTTCATTTTCGTATATTTTATTCTTAATAATAACTAGACTTATTAGAATTATAGTAAAAGGCCTATTAAGTAGCAAATTATTATTAAGCTATTCTTTAGTTTCTATATTATCTGAGAATTATTACTTGCCTATAATTTCAGATTTATAAATTACTTAGCTAAAAGTATTTATTTATTTAATTAAATAAACTATATTTAGAATCTTTTTTTCTATTACTTTTAATAAATACTCGCTTATTTCCTTAGCTATTTCCGGCTTAAAATTATTAGAAATAAAGAAGTAATTAATATTTTTAAAGAACTTCTTATTAAAAATAATAGCCTTCTTATATTTTATAAGAAAAATATAGCTAATATTCTAATACTTTTTTACTAAGATAGAATTTGCTACTTAAAGCTTTAGTAATAGCCAGATCTTTAATATTGCCTTTATACTAATTATAATTAATATTTCTAGAAATATAATATCTGGCTAGCTAAGAATAAGTAACTAGGTAAATAGAATACTTATTTAATACCTAATAAAATCCGAGCCATATTAATAGATCTGTTCCACCCGGTTCGCTAATGCGAGCGACTTGGCAATCGGGGCCCCGGATTCCCAATTACTCGATATTTCGGTATCGGGGCTAAAGGAGCTGAATTCCCCCTATTTACTAGCTCGTTTAGCCCTATATTCTTCACTTTACTATACCTCATATTTTGATTCTATAGGCTATAGTTTAATTTATTAATTTAAGATATTAAAGGAGGTAATAATAGGGGTAAAGACACTTCTCTAGAGCTCCCAAATATATATAGGGCCTCTGCTCCCTTATTCCCTAGATACAGTTCATAGTACAAGTACTAACTTTCCAAGTACAAATACTAATTCTATATACCTCTTAATTAATTACCTCACTTCTAATATGTCTCTTTTAACCCTTCGTTCATCTCTATCCCTACGTATGCCTCGTCAGTGTATATATGGGCGAGCAGAGCAATATTTTAATATTACTACTGCAGGGGCTCGTTCTTCTGGCACCCAGTTTTTACCCTCCCCTATTACTGAAGAGCCTACTAATAATTGGTCTGCTGAAGACGAAGCTGCATGGGATGAGAGGCTTACTAAAGGGGGTAGTAAGAAAATTCTTACTACTAGGAAACGTATGGATATTAGATAGTGGTTGCAAAATCCGAAGGCTCCGCTTCCTGGTGGAAACAAGGCAGAGAAACGCTACTAGGCTAATATTAAGCACGATTCCGCTCTCTATAAGCTTCAGGACGGCCAGGTGTATCGCAAGGAATACTATAATAATCGACGTGGAGAGCTTATTCCCGCCCGGTATACCGTTTGCTATAATAACGCTTTTGAGATTCTTACTACTATCTATGAGAAATTAATATACCCTGGTTAGTACTCTCTGAAAGCTACTAATTTTTATACTAATTAAAAAATAGGCTCTAATACTATATTTGAGTATATACGGAAAATTTGGCATGGCCCGTCCCGTAACGATTACGCGTGGATTAGTATACGATGCGCTTACTGCAATAAAGAGAAGGTTCAAAAGAATAACAAGGGAGTATAGCCTATCCAATCTTATTATCCAGGCGAGTATATGGTTCTGGATTTAATGGATTTTCGTATAAGTGTCCCCTAAGTCATGTGATTTGCCCCTATATTCCTGTATTTCCTGCATTTCGTACGTTTTTAAGCTTTTCGTGCGTTTTTGAGCTTTTCCTGCGATTTTCGCGATTCCTGCAATTTTTGCGATTTTCGTAAATTCCGAACCTTTTTATCCACACTTTATTAATACTATTATTAATACTATTATAGCATAATCCGGACAGAGAATATATGTGGATCTGGCAATTGAAATGCCACTTTTCCAAGTTCGTCTAGATCCGTGGGCTCAAGGCTAAGACTACGGACGAAGCTGTGGACGAGCTTATTAAATAGCTAAATAATAATGGGTATATTTCCATTTTAGCCTGTAATAATGGGGGCGAGTTTAAGGGGAAAGTAATTGAGATTTGCAAGAAGAGAGGGATAAAGATTATTCGCGGATGAGCTTATTATCCTTAATCTCAGGGCTCTATTAAGGTAGCTAATCGAATCTTCAAGAAACGATTACGGGCCGTACGAGCGGATACTGGTATCTAATTGTGGATATAGTTACTTCCTTTAATCGCATGGGTAATTAATACCACAGCTATACCAGCCCTTCCTAAGGGAAATATACTATACGAGGTCTGGTTTGGACGAAAGCCACCTACTGATTTCCTGGACCACAAGGAGAGCGCTTACCGTATACGTACGGCCCTGGGAGATATAGGGGAAGAGGTTGAGAGTAATGAGAATAGTAGTTCTGAGGGTGGAGAGGATAGCCTATTCGTTAATGAGGAAGCAGAACAAGAGGAAGCAGCTGAGGAGATGATTTTATCTGAACTAACCAAGAGGGTTGCGGAGCATATGAGAAAACAGAGGGAGAATATGGTAAAGAGGGCGAATTCCAAAGCTCTTGAATATGATATTCAAGAGATTATAACACTCCAGATCCCAAAGCAATATAGATTCGGTACCGAAATAGCTAGGATTCCAGTAAGAGTTCTGGAAAAGACTTCAAAGGTATGTGATTTATAAGCCTTCCTTTTAATAAAAGCTAATTAAAAATAGGGCTACCGTTTGGCCACTAAGTATGGCGAGCTTACTACTCTCTGGCCGCATAGTGCCCTCAATAAAATCACCTCCCAATTAACTTATCCTTTTTTTTTTTTTCCTTTTTTTTTCCTTTTAATATGCTTTATTAGTTTAGAACTATATAGCACGGCTAGCTAGCTAGCGTGTGTCTCAGTAGCTAATATACAGGCCCAAAATCCAATATAGGTGTAATAAATAGTTGGGGACGTACCCCTAGAATAAAAACTTAAGGAAATAAAGAAAATGAGTATAAATCGCAAATCCTCTCCTATTTCCTATTCCCCTTTTCCCCTATTCCCCTTCTCCTATTTCCTCCCCTATTTCCTCCCCTATTTCCTCCCCTATTTCCTCCCCTATTTCCTCTCCTATTTCCTCCCCTATTTCCTCCCCTATTTCCTCCCCTATTTCCTCCCCTATTTCCACTTCCTCTACTTCCACACTTCGCTCAATATGCCATTTTCTTATATATATACTAGTTTCTTTTAAGAATACTAGTATATTTGATATCCCAATTTCCGTGTGTAATAGTAACCATAGGTTAAAAGCACTAGCTTCCAGGCTCCCTTTAAATAGACTAAATAGTCTAAAACGTTCCTCCCTATATAGTATATAATATAGAAGGAGGTGCTTTGCATTCTCAGTTTTGCCACATTTGCATTTATTATTAGATGCTATTTTTAGCCTATATAAATAGGACTTTAAATATCCGTGGCCTAGCTTTAGCTAGAAGAATGCACTAGCTATAGGCCTAAGTATTTCCATAGATAGGTTTATTTTTCTGGATACTTTTTACGGATATATATTATTATATGATTCTAGCTAGGTTTTCGGTTTAGTATAAGATTCTAAAAGTAGTCTGTACTCTAGTTTCTTAACTTTATTAATTTCAACCCCTAGGAAAGCAAAGGAGGTTTTTACTAATTCAGGTTCTAATATAGGAGAAGTAGTGCCTAGCTTAGCTAGTACGTCTGCTTCTTCGTTCCCTATTATATCTGTATACCCTGGAACCCAGATTAGTTCTATATTAGCTCCTTTAGCTTTAAGGGCCTTAGTAGCTAATATAGCTCTAATCTATTAACTTTGACCGGGCTTATTAGAAGGAGTTTTTAGTCTCAGTAAACCAGCTTGGTTATCTATATAGATATTAAAAAGCTCTCCTCTCTTTACTTTGCTACTAGCGTATTTAATAGCCCTAGTAATGCCTTCTAGTTCTCCGTTATAGACTATAGCACTAGCTCCTATATTCTGGCTTTCTCTATATTTAGCTATAACCGGAATATAAGAAGTTTCGTAACTATAAACCACGAGCCCTAGGCCTACTTTGATTTCTTTTTCAGTTTGAGATTCATCTGTATATATAGATAGTATGAAGCTACTATTATATAAAGTCTTTAGGTAGAAATTATATAATATAGTAGTCTCTTCCTTTAGCTCTTTTAATATAGTAATTTTATAAGGCACTTCTCTATTCCAGGGAGCGAAATAGAAGTGTCTTATAGTCTCTAGATCTCTAGGGTCTACTAGATTACTAATAGAATCTACTATAGTTTCTATTTGAGACTTTTTAGCCAAGCGATCTCGCTTTAGATTAGTATTTAGACTATAAATAGAGTCTATATTAGATTCTATTACTTCTAAATCTCTAGATCTTTGGAAGGACTTCTCGAACTCTAGTCTAATAGGGT